GAACTGCAAGAATCAGATTAAAACTGACAAACATTATTATGATCACACGCTTTGTAAGAATAATGCTAATTTTATTTATTTATTACCCGACACGCATTTTCGAGTGCCCAAATACTTTTGTAATATTTTTTCGTGTCCAAAGATTGTTATTTTTCTCAAAAGTAAGGAACGCCATTTTAACTAAACTAACATTAAGATGGTTTAAATAAAGGTAAAATAAGCTTGACTTCATTTTCAAAGGAATTTTTTCAAAGCCAAAATTCTATAGGCAATGAATGTTACAATGTGCCTATTGAATCTCGGCCTATTGAATCAACGTGCTCAACGTGTCTGGATTGAAGTCAATGAATAATACAAAGAGATTTGAGAAGTGAAACGAAACAATAGGAGTAAATCACAATAGAAAAATATAATAATCCTTTTATTTGTTGTCAAGTCTTTTGCTTATGTTATGTCATTTAAATGGACATGTTATCTTAATTCCCAGGCATCATTCTTTTCATTGAATGAAGACATAGCTTATTTTAACACAAAACATAACATATCGTTTACTACAATATACATTTTCACAAGAAATTATAGAAATAACTAACGCTATTTTTTGCTTAGACAAAAATGTTTTAAATGAAATATTTTGATGAACTCAAACTTGGAAAATTGAAAATCATTCAGTGCTTGAAAAAATTATCACTTTCTGTACATTAAAAGATTGTAAATAGCTTAGCTCCCACCGTTTTGAGTAGAATGAAAAAAAAATAGTATTTTTTAAATTATACTTGGAAGAAAACACATGTTGCACTGAATTTCACCAAGTTTATTATGAGCATTAGATAAATTACCGAATATATTTAAAGGTCAACAGAAACATATGCGTAATCAATCGCTTTTCGGAACACACTTTCCAGAATTTAAAATGTTGTTTTCTTAAATGCGCTGTTAAAAAAATTTCCGAACTTGACTTCTTTAAGTTCTACAAGTTCCGAACTTGACAACGCAGTAATTCTACAAGTTCAGACTTTTATAAAAGCCAGGCAACCGCCCCTATCCTCTCAAAAAATAAAATAAAAAATATAAACAATAATTTATAAATAACACAAATGAATAAATAACAAAAAATAAAAGTAAAAAATATTTAAAAAATTGCAGATACTGATAAATCACATAACTGTGTTCTACACAGTCAATCTAGTGACAGAAAAAAATTGTAGCGTAATGACATGCAGCTAGAGCATAAAAGCATGTTGAAAAAAAATCTTAACTTAAATATGTGAAGGAATCATACTTAGTCAAACATTCGCTTTTGAAACTTTTCATAGCATTAAAATTCTTGAAAATACATCTAATATTACGAAAATATATAGCCATTTTCAAATACAAATCGTATTTTTCATTGAACTCTGATAATCGTGATGAAATCAGAGTCACTAATTTCGAAGAAGAGTTATTGAGAAAGTGTTACCAAATATTAGCCTTTATATATATGACAATTTCAAATTTAAATAAGGCACGAATGCTAATCATTTTTAATATATAACATTTTAAATGTCTAATAGAGGTTATCTGCAGAGGATTGTTTGAAACTCCTATATCTCTTCACTATAAAAGGCTTTAATTATCTGATAAAATTTATTGATTAGAGTTCTAACGTGTTTATGTATATAATTAAATATTTTCAGATAACGGTGTAGTTTAGCTCACTGTGTACTAGTTCATGAAACTTGTAGAGTCATTAGGTTATTTTGAAGCAGGAGACATGAAAAATGAGCTCTGCCCTCGCCGTCATTCGAAATTAGAACTCTCGAATACGCACCGAGTGTACTACCGTTACACCACAAAGGTGCGCTGGAAGGGTTGCAAAGGGGGAGAAAATACCTTATAAATTATTTTACCATGGTTAACAAGTCTTAGCTTGCTTGGCAAGGCTTGTGTTGAGCTTGCAATGCATCGTAAATTAGTACATAGTCTCAACGTATCTGCCTCTGAAATGTAATCCAGCTACAAATTATCATTCTTGTAACAAATTAATTCAGAACTTTTGCTAAAGGAGAAAAGTATAAGATTTAACTGATATGGACAAATCACTTTTGCATTTCTGTCCTACTGAATTTGAGAACCATTGGCAAAAAATGATAATTTTTATTGTGCAAATTTAAGGATTGTTTTAATTTTATAATTAGACATCTTGTATTACTATTTCAGCCAAGTATTGTTGGAAACTTTCAAATCACTGCGTAAGTTTTTTTCACGAGAGGATAGCACTGTTTATATGTTTTAAAACTTATATTGCTTTGGCGTAGTTTTACTCGTAATCTAATATATATAAAATTCTCGTGTCACAGTGTTTGTAACAATATTCCTCCGAAACGGCTTGACCGATTTTTATGAAATTTTATATGTATATTCGGTAGGTCTGAGAATCGGTCGTAATCTATTTTTCATACCCCTAAGTGATAAGGGTGGTGCAGCCCCCAATTTTTTTAAAAATATTTTGAACAAATGTTTTATTTTTTATTTTTTTATGATGTAGCATTAAAAAATACATACAACCCTAAATTTTCACCCTTCTACCACCAAACCATATTTTTTAATAGCGGCATTAGTAATTTAATAATTTTTAACACTAGTTGGTAACTGATCAATTATCACTTGATTAGTTATCCCCGCCAGGCGTCTACCGCTGTCACTTCTCACCCAGTAAACGGTAAGTAAGAATCAGACCGAAGCAGCTCTTCTGTCTTTCTCACACAATAAGCCTTCTCTCACCCCCTACACAGTTTTCGGCCATTATTATTGTTTGTGCCTCGATCGTAGTAGTGACGTTTATAATTATCATTTTACTATCTCAGTGTAACTCTCATTTTAATTATATTCTCAAGTAAATTTATTATTATTTTGCAGGGCTATAATTATTTATTATTATTTTATTAATAATTAATAAAATTATTAATTTTGAGTGTAGTTCTCACGTTTAGTTAATTAACTGATTTCATATAACTTCAAAGGTACTCAACACGTGTCACAAGCTCCCACCAACAACGGCTATTGTGTTACACGTATAAATTATTCTTATACATTTATTAGTTTTTATTTATTATTTATTAATTTGTTTATTATTAAATGACACTATAATAATAATATTAGTGCGTGCAAAATTTTGTAAGAATCATTTTAAAAGAGAAATAAATATTGTGAAAGGTAGGTAAAATAATAAAAGAAAATATACACGATATTAATTTTTATATATTATTTATTAATTTTTTATTATTAAACGACACTATAATAAGAATATTAGTGCGTACAAAGTCAGTGCGTACAAAATTTTGTGAAAATCATTTTAAAAGAAAAATATTGTGAACACTAAATATAGTATATATCGAAGAAAAAATACATTATTACTATACTGTTTTTCATCATTAAGTAATTCAATTTGTTCTATTTATATGTGTTTTGTACAGTGAACAAATGCCAACAAGACGCAAAGGGACTAATTTAGGCCGTCAAACAAGTAGAGCTGCAGACATGCAAAAAAGAAGAGCCCAAAGAACAGAAGAACAAAGCCAGCAAGATAATACTGATATGCGTGTCAGCATGACGCAATTGCTTCAAGCAGAATCAGAAGATGAACGAGCTGAACAAAATGAACAAAGAAAATTAGAACAAAGACAAGGACATCGTTTCATAGTTAACAGACGCAGAGCAAATGATCAACAACGCCAACAGGTACATCGATCATTTACATCTGATTCATTCCTGCGTCTAGCATTCGAGTATCAACCCGATATTCAAAATTATGCTCATTCAAAAGTGGTAATTGGCGCTAAGGACAAGAAATGCTCTTAAATTTAAAAATGAGCCAGCCGGGATGTGGTGCGCGTCAGGAAAGATGTAACTGCCTGAAATTGATACACCACCTGAACCATTGAACGGTTTACTTATCAGCACGGATCCAGATTCTAACCTATTTTTGAAGTCAATTCGAACATTCAATTTATGTTTCCAAATGACATCGTTCGGAGCAACAGAAGAAACAGTTAAAAAAAAATGCTGCAAATGGTCAACAATTCAATTCAACATTCAAAATCAAAGGCCAAATTTATCACAAAGTGGGCTCATTGCTGCCAATGCCAAATAAACCCACACAAAATTTTACAAATCTTCTTTATGGGCGGTGAGGATTCCGGATGCGCACTTGCCAGTCGCGTATATGCACGTTGTAGCTACAATAATCTTAATTCACTTTTTGCCAGACACATCATCGACGAACTGAACGCTCTATTGCATGAGCACAATGAATTGTTGAAAATATTTAAATCATACATGCACAAATTACAAAGTGATAATCACGCTATTGTCATCAATCCTGATAAAACACCAGATGGAGAGCACATTCATAGATTCAATCCACCTGTTGTTGACGACTTTGCTGGAATCATGGTTGGCGATCGTACAGATACATCAGAAATCGTGATTGGTAGAAGAACTAATAATCTCCAGTACATTGCTGATACACACTGTTCATATAACGCTCTCCAATATCCGCTAATGTTCTGGAAGGGACAAGACGGATATTGCATAAATATTAAACAGCAAGATCCCGTAACAGGTACTTCATTCATTATGAACTTGATTATTACTCATTTAACAAAAAAACTTAATTTATTAATTTTAATTAATTGAGTTAATATTTATGACTATATTATTATAGGAGCCGAAATAAACAAGAACGTTAGCTCGAAGGATTATTATGCATATCGGTTGATGATTAGACGCTGTCAGGACAACGTCATTCTACGATGCCGTGAGCTTTGTCAACAATTCATGGTCGACACACTATACGTGAAGATAGAGAGCGAACGACTACGATACTTGCGTATAATCAACAAAAGCTGCGTGCGAAAAAACACATTTACTTGAGCGACGATATTGTCAACAACGCCGACGTCGCCTAAATTGGTAACTTTTTCATTCTATCATCATCATACATAAGCAGTCCACGTCATATGCAAGAATATATACAAGGTGCTCTGACTTTCATGAGCGAATATGGACAACCGTGTTTATTTATCACGTTCACATGTAATCAAAAATGGCAGGAGATTACATCTTTGCTATTGCCTGGCCAAAATGCAATACATCGTCATGACATTGCAGCACATGTGTTCAGACAAAAATTAAAGTCTTTAATAAGTTTCATTGCAAGATTACATGTATTCGGTCCCACACGTTGCTGGATGTATTCGGTTGAATGGCAAAAGCGAGGATTACCTCATGCACACATTTTGGTTCGGTTAATTGACAAAATCCTTCCTGAAGAATTCGATAGTATAATTTGTGCGGAAATTCCAGATCCGTCTACTGATCACTTGCTGTTTGATATTGTTACAGCAAACATGATTCATGGCCCATGCGGTAATTTGAATCGTTTATCGCCTTGCATGGCAGATGGAAAATGTACGAAAAGTTTTCCTAAAAATTTCACTAAAGATACGATCACAAATGTGGACGGATATAAAATATATCGTCGAAGAAATCACGATAATGGCGGACAATCATCAATTAAAAATATCAACAACACAGACATTGACATTGACAATCGTTGGATGGTGCCATATTCGCCTCTTCTGAGCAAAACATTCAATGCTCATATTAATGTTGAGTTCTGCAGTTCAGTGAAGAGCATCAAAATACATTTGCAAGTATGTGAATAAAAGCAGTGATATGGCTGTATTTCGAGTTGAAAATACCAATGCGAATGCTCCTCCAATGAATAACAACGAGGGAATAACGTTCTACCAAATTAGCCGGTATATCAGCTCCAATGAAGCTGTTTGACGTATTTTTGGTTTCCCAATTCATGAACGGGATCCAGCAATTATTCATTTAGCCGTCCATCTTGAAAACATTCAGTGAGTATTTTTCACGAACGAGACAGCGATTGATCGTGCTATAAATCCACCAAAAACTACACTCACCGAATTTTTTGAATTGTGTAATCGTGCGAATGCTTTTGGTGCCTTTGCACGAACATTACTTTATTCAGAAGTACCACTCTATTTTACATGGGCTCAAACAAAAAAATGGATGCCCCGCAAGCAAGGCACACCGATTGATGCATGCCCCAGTTTATTCAAATCAAACACCTTGGAGCGAGTATTTACAGTCAATCCAAGGCAGACTGAGTGCTTTTATCTTCGACTGTTGTTGGTTAATGTCATTGGCCCATTGTCATTTCAAGATATACGTAAAGTGAATGGACAACAGTATACAACGTATAAAGATGCATGCCTTGCACTCGGCTTGCTCGAAGACGACAACCAGTGGGAATGTATGCTTGCTGAAGCAGCATTGAACTGTACAGCAATACAAATTCGTCTACTATTCGCTATAGTGTTGACTACATGTTTCCCAGCCCGAGCAGAGACATTGTGGGATAATCACAAAGATTCAAAGACTGATGATATATTGCATCAATATTGTACACGGAGCAAAGATCTAACGATAATATTCAGCGACGCTATATACAATGAAGCATTGATTGCTATTGAGGATCTTTGCATTATCATTGCCAACTTACCACTCGGTCATTTCGGTATGCGTTCGCCAAATCGAAGGTGCATCTGATTTAATGAACACTGAAATGAATCGTGAACTGCAGTACAATACTGTAGAAAATGGCAGCGATTGTTACTCGTAATGTCCCATTAATGAATGAGGAACAAAGAACCATTTACGACCGCATTATGCTCGCAGTTTCGGCAGGACAAGGTGGATTTTTTTTTTTTTTTTTTTGGATGCACCAGGTGGAACTGGTAAAACATTCCTTATTTCTCTAATTCTCGCCGAAATACGATCAAATAATGGCATCGCATTGGCCGTTGCGTCATCTGGCATTGCAGCAACTTTATTAGATGGAATAGAACAGCTCATTCAGTATTTAAGCTGCCACTAAATATTCAAAATAACCCAGACGCAGTGTGCAACATAAAAAAATCGTCCATGGTCCACAGTGCTGAAAGTGTAAAATTATCATCTGGGATGAATGCACTATGGCACACAAACATTCACTTGAGGCATTGAACAGGACATTGAAAGATATAAGAAACAACGAGAAACTATTTGGCGGTACTCTGTTACTCCTTTCAGGTGATTTCATACAAATACTTTCCGTCATTCCACGTTCAACGTATGTTAATCAGATCAACACTTGCTTAAAATCATCGCCACTGTGGCATAATGTTGGAAACGTGCAAGTGAAAGTAAATATGCGTGTTCAAATGCTTCAAGATCCATCCGCTGAAACATTCTCAAAACAACTGTTAGATATCGGCGATGGAAAAGTTACTATAGATGAAACTGAATGCATAAAATTACCGACCGATTTCTGCACAATCATTAATTCGCAAGATGCTCTCATTGTCCAGATATTTCTCGATGTACACACAATGCATCAATCATGAGTGGCTGGCAGGAAGAGCAATTTTAGCAGCAAAAAATGTGGACGTCAACGATTTGAATCTGAAAATACAACAGTTATTGCCAGGGGACTTGGTGTCATACAAATCTATTGATACAGTTTGCGATGCCAACGAAGCTGTGAATTATCCAACAAAGTTTTTGAACTCATTGGATTTGCCAGGCATGCCACCGCATAATTTACAACTGAAGGTTGGATCTCCGGTTATTTTGCTTCTTAATTTGAACCCACCACGGCTGTGTAACGGCACGCGATTAGTCATTAAAAATTAATGAAAAACGTTGTCGAAGCCAGCATTTTAAATGGCAAGTTCCGAGGCGAAAATATATTACTACCACGAATCCCTATGATACCCACAGATGTGCCAATTCAATTTAAACTTCTTCAATTTTCTATTAGATTGGCATTTGCAATGACTATTAATAAGTCTCAAGGCCAAGCAATGTCTATTTGTGGCTTAGATTTGAGCACACCATGTTTTTCACACATTTTTTTTATACGTGGCATGCTCTCGAGTGGGCAAACCATCCAGTTTGTTTGTGTTAGCTAAAGATGGGCTAACAAAAAATATTGTGCACTCTATTGCATTAAGGGATTAATGTTGTTTTTTAGTGATATTCTCATAATTAGTGATATATATAATTTTAAAGAATAAATTACAATAAGAAAATAGAAAAATCTTAAAAAATCTTTAAAAAATAAATGTTTAGTGTTTTGTTATTTTTATATTCCATCATCATTCACAGCGCTCTATGGCTCTTTAACTCATATAATACGTCTTCACACACTTGCAATGAGTTAGTTATTTTTCCCTACTAAAATATTCCCTAGAAATAATTTATATGGCAAAACAACGTTTGTCGGGTCATCTAGTCTTTATTATAAACTAGCAGCTTCGCCTCCAGCCTTCGTCTGGCTTTTAAATGTACCGAAAAAATGGCTGAAGGGAATACCAAATGTTAAATTTAAAAACTGCGTAGAATTTTACTCTGCAGAACAATTTCATAAAAAAAAGTTATTACGTATAACAAAATTACAATGAAATAAGCAATATCCCTTAAAACAAATATTAATTATCCTAATAAATAAATTAACCAACCTCCCTTTGCAAAATCTTAAGAACTCAAATCGTATAAAGGAGGTTAAGAACTTTGTTTCCAAAAAAAAAAAAAAAAAAAAAATCACTCAAATCTTTTCAATATCTTAAAAACAGTGAAAAGAGCAATAAATAACATAAAAGAATACAAAAAACAAAAGATTCTGAAAAGCAAAGTATAATTAATGATATTTTATCTTATATTTTCAAGAGAAAAATTACAATGAAATAACCGGTGAAAATGAGCTTTAGCCCCCTGCTTGGCGATTTTCAGTAGCGGCGATTTTTTGAAAATCGCCAGTAAACGTTGTATAAACAAAGTTGCGAGGGCGGAGCTATGTGACGTTCATAAATGGGTGGGACTAAGATTGTGACGTCACAATGTATTTTCTACAGATGTAGAAATAAGTATACTAAATTTTTTGTATTTCAAACTATTAAATACGGTAAGTGAATTGTAACAGTTATTAAAACTGTAAACAACGTCACAGTCTCTCATACAGGGTGAATATTTTTAAGCTTTAGTATTTATAGAAATAAAAACAGATTTTTTTAAATTTTAATTTCATATTGCGGAACATTTTAACTTTATCATCTTTACAAAATTACCTTATTGCTACGTAACGACACTATCTCTTACATACTAGTAAGTAAACAATCTTCATTATTTTCTAAAAATTTTTAAGCTTTATATTAATAAAAAAGGGAAAATATTTATTATTGAATATCAACATCATTCACAGCTTTCATTTCAATATTTCTTAAATTCCTAAGCCACGTTCTATACTTTCGTATTAGAATTCTACACATTAATAAATTTAAAAAATCTAATTTCTCACAATGAAAGAAAATAAGAAAATATTAAAAATAAGCAATTTTAAAAAGAAAAATTTTTTCATTTACCCTTTTCAGGAAAATAAAAAGTCTTTTTGACAATGACGGCACGTTTCCCTTGCATTTCCAATAAAGTAATAAATTTACATGTACATTCACTCACCTCTCTCAGCATCACAGATAAATCCATAGCGATTGTTTATTTAACGAAATATATGCAGAAAAATGGCAAAAACACACAGATAAAAACCACTCGATTGATAACTACCACATAAGAACATTCAAACGGCAAATGAATTAACTGCTCAAATTACGAAGTAAAAATTCCAAAAGAAATCGTCTGCTTGGAAATTCTTTTTAACTGCAAGTATAGTTTTGAAAGCATAAATTATCGTCTGCTAATTGACAATTTGTCTTCGGACATTTGTGCTCTCTCCGAAGAAATTTATTCGTATCTAGTTATTAAAAAGCGCTGTGAAAGCCATGGCTTTTCGATATCTAAAGCTACGATAGGTAATATTGTCAACGATAGGAAATTACTAAAAAGACAACAAATATAATGAAATTAAAAAACAAAATAAAATCTGAAATTTAAGATTTTACATTACGCCCCAAAGGTGCGTTTTTTTAACACTTTGCGTGTTACTTTTATTAATTAAATATCATGTTCTTCGCTCTTAAACCGTAAAATTCAGTTCAACAGCGATATCACAAAATAATTTTAAAATAAGCATATCTTTAGATTTTCCGATACACATTTTCGCGCGCTGGAGATAAAAATGTTTTTTTTTTTTTTTCTGTAGAGCATTGTCATTGCTTGCTTTGAAATTCTTCAGTATGTTAATCAAAAATTCGTTAAAGTTTTACAAAATATGAAAACGATAATAAAAGAAATTCCAAATTTCAAATTTGGGCTTCCAGATGCCCATATTCGCAGGAGGATGACGTTATTCTAAATTTGATGTTTCTAGGTACCGTTGTTTTATCAAAATGAGGGAAACAAACATATATTTATGAAGATTTTTAATCGTTTAATTCCTTTAAATATAATACAGGGCGATAATATTTGTTAGCTACAATTTGAAACATTGGCTACATTGGCTTTTCCCATGTACACATCGATCTATTTTCACTTAAAAAAAAACATCCCAGAATTGCACAAACTCGGCATCGCGCACAACCTCGGCATTGCGCACTACATTTACTTTGCCCATGTGCACATCGATCTATTTTCACTTAAAAAAAATCTCAGAATTGCACAAACTCGGCATCGCGCACAAACTCGGCATTGCGCACCACATTGGCTTTGCCCATGTGCACATCGATCTATTTTCACTTAAAAAAACATCCCAGAATTGCACAAACTCGGCATCGCGCACAACGTCGGCATTGCGCACTGCATTGGCTTTGCCCATGTACATATCGATCTATTTTCATTAAAAAAAGTCAGAGAATTGCACAACGTTAGCTTTTCTAATCTTCTAGGATTGAGCCAAAAAGAAATACAAAATGTTAAAATAAGCAACTTTAAAACGAACCATACAAGAAAAATGTTTTCACTTACCCTTTTCAAGAAAAATGGAAAGTCTTTTTGAGGGGTTTTATATATGAATTTATATCAGGGTGAAACCCTTTTGGATCCCCCCTCATCTTTAAATAAATTAACAAACGTTTATACGCCGTTTCCGTAATATATGCAGAAAAAAGGCTAAAACCCACAGGGGGGGGGGAAAAACACTCGATTGAAAAAAGAAACCACATAAGAACATTCAAACCGCAACAGAATTAACAAGGAAAAAATAAATAAAATAAAAATAATGAAAGCTTTTAGATTTTACATTACGCCCAAAGGGCGTTTTTTTTTTTTAACATTTTGTGTGTTACATTTCTTTATCATATAATGTTCTTTACACTTAAACCATAAAATTGAGTTCAACAGTAATATCGAAAAATAATTTTAAAATGAGCATATCTTTAGAATTTCTGATACACAGTTTTGCGCTCTTGCACGTAAAAAAATTTTTTTTTTTTTTTTTTTCGTACTGTGTTGCAGTTGCTCGCTTTGAAATCTTTGAGTTTGCTAATAAAAATTTCGTTCAAGTTTTACAAAATATCAATCAGATAATAAAAAAATTCCAAGTTTGGGCTTCCAGATGCCCATATTAGGTTGGAAACGTATGTTATTCAAAATTTGATGGCTCTAGGTACCGTTGTTTTATCACAATGCGAGAAACATTTATGCAGATTTTTCAATATTTAATTTCTTTAAATATAATACAGGGCGATAACATTTAGTGGCAACAGAACAACAACACAGCTTCAAAACATCGGGTTAGCCATGTTGGCGCGTTTATTGCCCATTGAAAAACAATCGCCAAGCAGTGGGCTAAACCGCATTTTAACCAAATAACCTATATCCCTTAATACAAATATTAATTATTCTAATTAAAAAAATTAACCAACTTTTCGTTGAAGAAAAAATATCATGCAAAACTTTTCAGTATCTTACAAACAGGGAAATAAGAAAAATAAATAATATGAAAGCAGCTCAAAAAACATAAAATTCTGCGCAGAATTTTACTCTTCAGAACAACTTTATCAAAGAAAAAATCAATAAAAATGTATTATATATATACAAAAATGACAATGAAATATGCCAATCTCTTAAAAACAGTGACATAAGAAATACGATGAAACATTGTTGCCAAACCCATATTTCTAAATGAATGTAACTATTCAAAATGATGCGATTTCATCAAAAATCTATCAACAACAATAAGACAGGAAAATTGTTGCCAAAATCAAATTTTTAAAGTTGTGAGAAGTGTACTCGGAAGCTTCATTTAATTTTTTTTAAAAAATACAAAATATTATTATTTTTCCAAAATTCTTTTTGTAAATGCAGTCGCAAGGATGCAAGTTTAACGTGTCTAAAAATCGAAGAAAAATAAACTGTACATTTTTAAAAATAAACTTTTTTAGAAAAAAATCCCTTTGAAAAGGTGTTAAGCTCCCTTTGTTAAATAAATTCGTATTTAATCGATTTACTGAAACACAAAAATTATTTTAAGTTCGTAAAATAGCTAAGTGCCTACGTTTCATGACGATGTGAAAATGAAGTGTGTAGAGTAAAATCTCGCTTTACTATAGCCCATTATGTCTCAAAATGACGCGATGTCGTCACAAAACATAAAATAAAAAAAATCGAATTCGAATTTCGAAAAAATCGCTTCGAGGTGCACTGACTCTTGTCTAGATGCACCTATGTACCAAATTTCGTAGCCGTGTGTCTATTAGCTTACGCGCAGCTCGAACGAAAGACACACACACACAGAGACAGACTCTTTCTTTTATTATATGTAGAGATTTATGAATTGATGATACAATGTAGCTCCAAATATATGGATTGCAAGCACAAACAATAGTCCTTCCGAAAATTTCGGAAAATTGACTGTGTCCTTTGAATTGCCAAACATGTTATTTACTACAATGTATAGAAGCAAATTTTATTTTATTTTTTTATGCAGTTTGCTCGGCATATTTTATTTCAACAAAACTCACGCAATTGAAAATGTACACAAAACTTTATTTCTTTTTTTTATTTATTAGAACAAGAAAACTTGGTTTAAATTTACTTCCGAAAATTATAAAAATAATGAATTTTATTTAAAAGAAATCACTGAATGCTTGCATTTAGGAACGAAAATTAGCAATTTCTTTAAAAAGCTGTTAATTTCCAGAAAAAGTCTGTAAATGAAAATATATATTGATAATACATAAACTAATATGAAAATTAAAAATTAAATAAAAACATTTACAATGCATTTTAATACAAACTTGAAACGGTGTGAGATAAGTAGCAGTAAATTCAGGTAAATAAATTCGAACATATTTAGAATGAAATGAATGTCTTTGTCCGATGGGGAGGGAATTAGTTTTTATCCTCACTTCATGAAAAGTATTTCCTACCACGTTTTAATGGTTTTAGAAATAAATTGTTTTCTAGTTGTTACAGAAAAGAAAATAAATTTTACTTCCAGTCTCAATCACTGCACTATGTACAAATTATTTTTGACAGTCATCCTATTCATAGCTAAAATTACCTCATCGCATATTCAAGGGTTAAAAAATTGCAAATGAAATCGTAGCACGATGACCGAACTTCGCAGCAGCTATTTCAAGGCCGTCTCCGAAAACAAACACAGAATTCCACACGAGTCTAGTCACGTGGTTTCAAAATAAAAAGGTCAGGACATAGGTCCCCATGAGATGGGAGAAGAACATTAGTTCCTGCCGCCGGAACGTGTTTCTATCCTTTATCTTGCTGTTCTTCTGAAACCATTAACTGTATTATGATCAGCTGCATCCGTTCAAAAGACGACAGATTAGACGGTGCAAGCGGACAGGCTGATGTCAAAGAATTTCTTTTTGTGACTGCAAGCTGCAAGTCTTTCTTAACTCTGCTTTAATGAAACATTTGTTTTAGTTGACTGAAATATTCTGAATACTGTTCCCTGAGAAAACTGAGCTTCTTAATTCACGGATTCCTCTTTGTTGCCGTACAAAGGTAAGTTAAAACGTTTCTTATTAAAATTTAATTTTGATTTAATTAGAAAATTAAATACTTAAATTTAATAAAATACGATTTTCTTTCTTTTGAATATATTCATTTAATATTCAGAATTAATATTCATTTTTTAAATTATTAACGAATTCAGAGTTTTAAGAGAACAACAAAATATTTTGAATAAACTGAAACTTAAAAGGGTTTTTTTACTAAATACTAATTAAATCTGTTACAAAAGATAAGTTTAAGAGCATTTTTCTGAAATATATTTTTACTTTATTTCACTTCTTAAGAGGCTTCATTTAAAAAAGGAAAGTATTTAATGGTTGCAATCCTAATAACATTAATTTAAACTATATACTATACAACCACATAAACCTTCATGTTTGTTACATGAATCAATGCACATTCTTTCTTCGTAATAGATATAAGTAAAATATTTTAAGAATCAATTATAGATGATGAAAAGAAAACATTCAGATCTTAAGAGGAAATGTTTTTATCGTATGCATGTATGGTTACACACTGTGGAACTTTCTAGTTTAAATTCTCCCTTTAATGGAAACTTTCCTGCATAGCTGTGATGTATGGAGGAAAACACGTAGGCGATAGAATATTTAATAGGCAAAGTCTTCAAAACAAAACAAAATATTCACTTTTTCAAATAATAAAATAAAGAAGAAAATTTAAAAGCCTATAATTTAACTAATGAAATAAATTATTCATAACAGAAGCAGAAAGAACTTTCGTAATATTTTACTGTTAGTTATTCTAAATGTTTCTCTACATGAAGCCAATAACATTTTTTATTAATCTTTCGTTTTATTAATAGATCATATAAAAATTATTATTTGAGGAGTGTTTTTAATTTGAGAAATTTTTGAAATAAAGAACAAAATTTTGACTTCAAGTTTTCAAAATTTGAGATCTGAAATATTTTAAAACAATTAAAAAGTATGAAAATTTGTGGGTAAATTGAGGTCGTTTAATTCCCACCTGTTATTTTACCTGTATTTTTATAACTGATTGTCAAACTAAAAGCTTTTATTCTTAAAGACTTTGCAATTTAATCTAATTAAATAAACGGAAAAAAGCCATAAACCATACCTAAATTGCTTATTGATGCCATTAAAATTGAACATAATTATGTTGCACAAATGCTTCATTGCTGTTTTAATGTTGGACACATCCTTACAGGAGTCTTTCCAAAACTTCTGAACTATTACAGTATTCAAACATTTATATATCATCCAATCGTCTGGGCAAGTATTCTCACCGCGATTAACATGAGGTGTTTAATTCACCTTCCATAAGGATTCATATATTGATGTGGTGTATTTAGTTATGGCAAAGTACACTAGGGCTATCTGCCTAACGGGAGGGATGCCTTCGTGAAGGACTTTCTAAGGGAAACTGGCTCGTATACACGTTACACATGGGGAAAACCACGAAAACGCCCATGCAGCCAGCCCGTTCGGACTTTGGACTTCGGACCGAACTACCAGTGTTCAGCGACTTTACCGCTCGGCCGCTGGTGGGCCGGATTCATATATAGTTGATTTCTCAAAGTGCTGCCATTCCACAAAGTATAAGAAATTCAATTTAGATTTCAAATTTATTCAGTCTTTAATTCCTTGAGAAAGTGGCTGATTTTTAATAAAAACTCAACCTTCTTAATAATTTAAATATTCATATTATTTTTAATAGCATACCTAGCTGATATAAATTAAATTCGAATTAGGTTCAGATAATCATTTTTTGAACATTTACAAAACTATCATAGTTTATAAAACAGCATTTTAACTCCACATTTTGTGCAAATGGTGCAGAATCGAAAGAAGAATATACTACTTGTTATCACACCGTTCACAGCTTGACCATTCGCGGTTCGATATCACACTACTGATGGTTCTTTCCAAGAACAATGACACGATACGTCCCAGCTCCAGTTTTTCCTAACTGAAAAATTAAAAGAATACGATATAGAAATTCGAACTCTAAAATACATTTTTAAGAATAAGGAGACTATTTTCAATTTGAAAAAATTTACTTTTTAAATAAAAATTTTGTAATTATATTAAATGGCAAAAAGTTTTAAAGGATATACTTTTCAATGCTGATTTGATTTATAACTTATTATAACAAAATTAAATTTAGTTTGTATTCCGCTGGAAATTATTTTATTATTATTGGAATGATCAATTTTATTATTACTGTAATCAACACATCTTTCACCAAAAATGAAACCAGAAAATAAGAGGGAAAGGAAGATGCATTTTTTAAATGGAAGTTGAAAGTTGTAAAGTGTGGAACCGCCTTTTACCGCGACAATACGCCCTATCATTAGGCAGGAACTTCTTGTCATGCAGCCACTATGTCGAAATATTAGAATATTTTGTCAAGGTCGTTAATGAAGAGCTTTTGTTATGGAAATATGGACACAGTTTTTAAATACTTATGGTTGCACATATTTGTAAATATATGTATTAAGACTCTTATTACCACGTGCGTGACCCAAACGCTAGTTCTAGAAATTTTTTAACAAGTAGCCATTTTTTACAGCCTATGCGTCACACTTTAATTTTATCTCTGAAGCAATATGGCTGAGCATTTATTATACTCTGCATATTAAAATGTGTGCGAAGGTAAATTTTGCGGCAGTTTTGATGTGCAACTGGAAATATGTTAATCAGATATAACTATTGTTAAGGGGAAAGAAACTATTGAAACGTTGTTTTATACAGGTATATCTATACTCTAATGAAAACACCCGCGATATATATGCATTAATTCAACATATAGAAACCTGGCTGAAAATAACAAATAATTTTACGATGTAAAATAAAAGACAATTTTATTAATAAAAAATATATGCATGTTTTGTATACTAAAGTGAATGTAAGTACTTTATAACTTTTGCCCCTCCGAAAAGAATGTAAGGTTAGGAATTTAATTTTCACTTCAGCGTTATAATGCCGAAATGAAAAGTAATTTCTTTTCTCACGATATTAAAAAAAGAGAAAGCCTGCAGATTAATAAAAAAACAGAATTTTAATCTTTTATCATTTACAGTATTTTATAGTTCGTATTAATATTAAGCCAAAAGTAAAATTAGCAATTATTTTAAAGATGAAATGAAGTCCTCTTTCTGAATGTTACATAATATATAACTTGAATCTTGCGCAGACAGTACTTGCAATGAAATTTTTATTTAAGACAAAATTGTAGAAACCTAAGCGTCAAAAAATATTTGAAATTACTTATTTAAAGCAAAATTGCAGATATTAAATGTATATGCTTTGCTCTGTTATCAGAGGACGCTCGTACATTCTGTAAAATTCAAGCATTTCTTTGATATCTGCAGCAAATATTGAAAGTCTTATGACCAAGATTCTCATCGGAATCAAGAGAATTCTCATATGTTATGCATTTAAGATGCCTACATAAAACGAAATCCGGAGATAAGATGAACTTAGGAGATTCACTAGCGGTCTACTTCAGCTAATTCTTTGGTTAGAAAATATCGCCTTCAAGTACTTATCTATCCGGCTGCTGAAACAGACTAGCTCTCCGTCATGCTGTAGCCGCATTTCACGGCGCTCAGCTGATTCTACATGCTTCGTCAACTCAGCCAAGGCTAGTTGATAGAAAATATATATCTTCTCACCCAGACATTCTGGCAAAAGATACGAGTCAACTAAGTTGTTATGAATGATACGCGGCCAGACGTTTACCGAGAACCATATCTGCTAGAAATTTTGCAATATTGTATGATCTATCTCTACTTGTTCACACACACAAACTTAGATCCTACAATGAACCTGGCGAATTCTCGCACAGGCGTGAATTAAATACCAGCACAGAGGAAGGGTGCAAAATAACCCTTTATTAAATCAAAACTAATTAACAGAAAGCACGGACTTCGTGCATTACAAAACACACCGTTCACTTGCGTCGGTAACTAAACGTAGACTAGAAAACAAATTAAATCTGAAAAATAAACGAATGCAAGAACGCGTTTCAAAATTACTCCTAGAGATCGACTCACAGAAATCTAACCGGCGTGATACTAAACTGATAAGGCCAAAAGGCTTACTAGCGTGACCGCGAAATAACAACGAAACGTGCGCTAGGCTAGCAAAACACGCTCTGATTAAATTGAGATAATCATACATTTAAATAGCACTTCACTTAACTTTAAATTTACATCCTGGCGGGAGAAGGTGAGGGAAAGTTTGAGAAGTTGAGAACAGGAAAACTTAAATTAAATTTGCTATGCAAAATAAGAAAAACCCTACAATATTACATGTGGATTTTCGCTGGCCCATACACATTCATTGTGGTTATTAAATATATCTTCAGTAGTGAACATGGCTTCATCAGTGAGTAGCATATGTGCCGGCAGCTCGAGTCCTGTAGCAGAATTCTGTAGAAACCAACAAGCCTATTTAACATGTTCAGAAAAATAAATCAAAAGGTCCGAAAACTTACATTTTCTGCATATGTAATGCAGATAATCGTTAGGGCATACCGTTGTACATGTTACGTCTATGCCACGACATACTGCCTCTCATATTAGTTTTAAGATAATATTTTATTTGACGTAGAATTGTCTTTAATGTAACCGATATTCTGACCTTCTTCCCAGACTTGTATTTTGCATGATGGTAATGAAGAATATCTTCTGTGGCAGCTGGTAATGCAAGCGAAAACGTATTCTGCTGCCAAGTGTATGTATCTTGAGAAAAAATATTCTGTCTTAGTGAAATATTTCTTCTTACCTTTCATTACCATTACCGTAAACACAATACATGCCTGTCTTCTCCTCATTTGTATACATATCCAATTTAAACCGCTAATGACGATTCTTTCGATGTACCGTTGTTACACTCATGCTTGGAAATTCCAGACACTTTTGAGCTACGAAAGCAGGCGTGTGTTAAGGAACAGAAAGCGCCCTTGTATACCTACCCCGCTTAGCATGTGATCGTGCGGTGAAA